GGACATGGTTAGGAAGCTTCTTCGATCCTTACCGAAGGAATGGTTGCCTAAACGAACAGCCATTGAAGAAGCTAGAAATCTTAACACGTTGACTGTTGATGAATTAATTGGATCCCTTCTCAGTCATGAACATGTTATCAGGCAGGTAGGAGAGGAAGATGAAAGGTGCAAAAAGAGCCTTGCTTTCAAGAGTCGTTTATATGAATATGAGTCTGATAATGAAGTTGATTCTGATTTTGAACGAGAACTGGCCTTGGTCAGTAAAAAATTTCATCGTATGATGAAGTTCAAAAATGATCAGAAGCAACGTGATGTGGAGAATAGGGGTCGTTATGAGTCTCACAATCGCTTTTCTAATGCCCGTTTTCCTGGATCGACTAGCCGTTATTCAGAAACGAATAATCGCTTTTCTGATCAAAATCAAAGATATAATGAATCTTTTCAAAGAAATAGTGATAACGGAAGAAATCACTCAAATCCTGGTAGAACTAAAAGTGCCTTCTTTGAGAGATTTGCATCGCAGGGGAAAGAACAGCAAACTGGTGCAACTGATCGTGAACCTCAAGGGGGTTACAAGTGCGGGAAGATGGGGCACGTTAGAGCAAATTGCCCTTTGACACTGAAGGCTAAAGAACGAGCAATGGCTGCCTCTTGGAGCGATTATGAGTCAGAGGACGATAATGAAGGGAATATCGACGAGGCATACATGGCAAGAATGTCAAACACTGAAACTCACAAAGATCTCATCGATGAATTCAGTGAAACTGAAAGTAAATGGTATCTGGATAGCGGCTGTTCGCATCACATGACAGGTAACGAAGCTCTCTTCTCAACTTTAAACTATGAATTAGGAGGAGAAGTAGTTTTTGGAGACAACAGCTCTGGCAGAGTAGTGGGACAAGGAATTATTGGTCTGTCTCCTATGCCAAGTGTTAAAGATTTCATGCTTGTAGATGGTCTTAAAAATAATTTGCTTTCCATAAGTCAGTTATGCAGTAATGTGAACAAAGTGACATTTGAAACCTCTCACTGTCTTGTTGAACGTGTCCGTGATAGCAAAATTGTGTTTATTGGTAATCGTATTGGAAACATGTATGTGATTGATCTGTATGATCTAAGAGCCTTCAATGAATCTTGTCTAGTTTCCAAATCAGATTACCAGGAAGCAACCTGGCACAGAAAACTAGGCCACATTAGCTTAAAAATGCTTGCTGCCTTGTCTAGATCTAAGCTGGTCCGAGGAATTCCTGATCTAAAGGAACGAGGAAATTTCTTTTGTGGTGCATGTGCTGCTGGTAAGCATTCTAAAAGACCTTTTAAGACAAAACCTGATATTGCTACGATTAAGCCATTTGAACTAATTCATAAGGATTTGTTAGGTCCATGCTCTATCACTAGTCTTGGAGGAAAAAACTATGTGTTTGTTCTTGTTGATGATTACTCTAGATACTGCTGGGTCTATTTTCTTGCTAGCAAAGATGAAACTTTTAAAAAGTTTCACTCCTTTGTCAAAATGTATTCTGAGATTAAAAGTATTAAAAGTGACAATGGAGGAGAGTTTATCTCAGATGAGTTTTCTGAGTTTTGTGAATCATTAGGCATTCTTCATACCTTCTCTGCTCCTAGAACTCCCCAACAGAATGGGGTAGTTGAGAGAAAAAATCGTACTATTATTGAAACTGCAAGAACTATGTTGATCGACTATGATCTCCCTAAGTTCTTTTGGGCAGAGGCAGTTAGTACAGCCTGTTATGTTATCAACAAGGTTCTAGTAAGAAAACATCTAAATAAGACTCCCTATGAAGTTTTAAAGAAAAAGACTCCAAATATTTCTTATTTTCACCCTTTTGGATGTCGATGCTTTACTCTTAATACTAAAGATACCCTTGGCAAATTTGATGCCAAGTCAGATGAGTCAATTTTCTTAGGGTACTCTTTGAAAGGGAAAGCTTACAGAATCTATAAAAAATGAACTCGTAAGGTGGAAGAATCAGTTCATGTTTTATTTGATAATACTGATGCTTCTGTTAACACATGTGAGACAGACACACAGCTTCTCGACCTATTGGAGTTAACTCGTTGGCAAGAAAAAACACCAGCAAAGACAACAGATTCAAGTGAATCATCACTGCAACATCAACCTCCAAATGACACTCACATTCAAGGAGCTCAATCCCTCGAGCCAGTGACAACCTCAGAAGCAGAAGCTATGCCCAATCACTCTAGTGAAGCTGATGACAGGATACAAGCACCACCTCATATCCAAAAGAGACACCCTGAAAGTCACGTCATCGGGAATATTAAAGATGGTCTCCGTACCCGAGGTAAGTATACTCCTGGCCATTATGCTTATGTATCTAAACTAGAACCTACATCTTATAAAGAGGCATTGCATGATGAAGAATGGGCATAGGAACTATCTCAGTTTGAATATCTCAAGGTCTGGGAGTTAGTTCCTAGACCTCTAGGGAAAACCATCATTGGAACTAAGTGGGTTTTTCGTAACAAATCTGATGAGTAAGGCAATATTATCCGCAACAAGGCACGCCTTGTTGCGCAAGGATATTGCCAAGACGAAGGGATAGATTACGATGAAACGTTTGCCCATGTATCACGTCTGGAATCGATTAGATTATTATGTGCTTTTGCGTGTTATAAGAACTTTCCCTTGTACCAAATGGATGTTAAAAGTGCCTTCTTGAATGTAGACATTCAAGAAGAAGTCTATGTGTCTCAGCCTCCCGGTTTCACTGACTTTCAACATCAAGACTATGTGTACAAGCTAAACAAAGCCTTGTATGGTCTTAAACAAGCTCCTAGAGCTTGGTTTGATCGACTGACCAAATTCCTTAAAGATCAACTATTTTCTCAAGGATCAGTTGATAAAACTCTATTCACTAAAACCTCTGGCTCTCACATGCTTATTGTTCAGATTAATGTAGATGATATAGTCTTCGGGTCCACTGATCCTGCTATGTGTTCTGAGTTCTGTGAAGCAATGAAATCTGTCTTTGAAATGAGTATGATGGGTGAGCTTCAATTCTTTCATGGGCTGCAGTTCAAACAAACTTCTCATGGTACTTTTATTAGTAAATCGAAATATATAAATACCATGTTGCATAAGTTAGATCTTTATAAAATTAATTCCAGCCCAACCCCCATGGTTGTGAACTTAAAATTAGATAAAGATGAAAAAGGTGCTCTTGTAGACGAAAAGTTATATCGGGGTATGATTGGTTCCTTACTTTATCTAACTGCTAGCCGTCCCGATATTCAGTACAGTGTTTGCTTGTGTGCTAGGTTTCAAGCAAATCCCAAAATTAGTCATCTAGCTGCTGCTAAACGAATTTTTCGTTACTTAAAAGGCACTATGAATGTAGGTCTATGGTATCCTAAGCAAAATAGTTTAGACTTACTTGGTTACAGTGATTCTGACTTCGCCAGAAGTTTCACTAATCGTAAAAGCACAAGTGGTGCTTGTCAGTTTGTTGGTACTTCTCTTATCTCTTGGTCATGCAAGAAACAAGGGGTTGTAGCTTTGTCTACCGCCAAGGCAGAATATATAGCTGCTGGAGGATGTTGTACTCAACTCCTCTGGTTAAAATATCAATTAGGAGATTATGGTTTGCATATTCTTGCCATTCCTCTATTTTGCGATAATACCAGCACCATCTGCATGACTAAAAACCCAGTGCAGCATTCCCGGACAAAACACATTGAGATCAATATCATTACATCCGAGAATTGGTGCACAATCAGGTTATTTCGCTTCATTATATTCCTACTGAGTATCAGCTAGTTGACTTATTTACAAAGCCTATGTATGCTGACCGTTTTGTCTTTCTGTGCTATGATATTGGACTTAGGTCTCCAGAAAATCTTAGAGATTTTCTTGCAGACTGATTCTTGCCTTTTCCTAGTTTATTTTCTTTCCTTGTTGCTGTTATTTTTCTTGCCCCTTTTTGTTTATTCTGCTTCCTTTTTCATTTTGTGATCTTTGTTTCCTTGTTTTCTTTGAGTGTTTGTGTGTCATCTCTTCTTCCCTGCTCTATTTATACCTCGGGAATTTTAGTGTTCTACTGTCATTTTCTAGCCCTTCTTAGCTTTCCCTCTCTCGTGTCTCTCCAATCATGAATCGTGTCTTCGCTCATACTTATTCAGGCTCCCTATTTTCTGAACCAGTCTCTCTGAGTCGTCATCGTCATACTCTGTTCAATAAAAACCGTCCCTTAGCCACCCCGATTCATGTCCATATTCCTGACTTTGTGAACTATGGTCTTGATGTCCGGGGGTTTATTCATAATCTGGGGTGGGATTTCCTCTTGGAGGATCCTCCAACCTTGATCTGTCCTGAGCTAGTTCGGTTCTTCTACTCAAATCTTCGTTCTTTTGGTCTCCATAGGCGTAGTTTTTCTACTGTGGTTTATGGTCACCAGGTGACTATTCCCGTCTCTGATTTGGCCCGGCTTCTGAATATTCCTCCCATTGGTGAGTCTCTCACCCATGAATCAGAACTATGGCGTTTTAACTTCAATATTGCAGTCGAGTTCATTCAGTTGACTGGTATTCACCCTGGCCCAGCAACCTTCCTTCCTGTTTCTTCAGTTCTACCTAGTCTGTGTGCACTTCACTTTGTTATCTCAAGGATTCTGATTCCTTGCACTCAGTCTCTCGACGTCATTCTTCCTCTGGACCTTTGGATTATGGCTCATGCCATTTCCAATGTTCCATTGGACTTCTCTTATCTTCTCTTTGGTCTCTTTATGAATTTTGGAGATACTAGCTATCCCGGTCCTCTTCCTTTTGCCCCCCTTATCACCCAACTCATTGTTTGCCTCGATATACCAATTTCCTCCTTCCGGACTGAACTCAGTGCTCGATTTCTCTCCATTGATAAAGTTCTTGATCAGTTGGAGCTTGCAAACGAGGGGGAGGATATTGGAGATGATGATGATGATGATAACCTTGAGGGGGAGGATGTTGGAGATGGAGACGCTGAAATGTCTGATGAAGAAGAAGATATTCCTGAAGAAAATCCTGGAGCAAATCCTGTGGTAGGTGCAGAAGAAGATCCGATGGAAGAAGCAAATGAAAATCTGAATGACCTTGATGATGATACTCTTGATCAGTTTGCCACAGCACTAGCATATGTTGAAGAAGGTTTGTATGTTGCTGCTGCTGCTGTAGCACCTGGCGGACTGGGTGGAGGTTTAGTAGACTATAGCACAGATGATGAGTCTATTTAGGGGGAGTTCCTTTCTTTTGAGAATGTCTTTTCTTTGAATGATTGGCAACAGTTTTTAAACTCTGTTTTGACTAGCTGGACCTGGTTTGTTGGATGTTTCTCTTGATGGCCTCTTTGTTGCAAAGCTTTTGCTACTTTGATTCGGTTCTGCGTGTGTGGAATGCCTTGTCTAGTTTTTGTGGTTTACCTTTCTCTGCAGGACTTATATCATTTGCTAGCTCTGATCTAGGGGGAGATTGTTGGGCAAGATCAGAGCTAGACATACAAGGGAAGTCTGCATTTTTGGTAACTATATGCTCGATCAAAGCAAATCAAGCAACGACTCCTTTCACCAACGACTAGCTAAAGGAGAAGTATAAAATTGATAGGTCCTGGTCTTTTCGACTATCTCTTTTGTAATCTCTGAGAATAGCGGTAGAGGGCTAGTTTGTCCGAACAAAAGAGGGTTTTCTCCAGGGGTATAGCTTCTGTGAGAGTGGCAGGAAGGAACAGAGTTTGGATTGAACTCTGTTGGTTTCGTGTGTTTCTTTGCTGTGTAACTGCGTCTATAAAATCAGAAAATATAGTGTCTCTCGGGAGTAGTGTGGACTATTACCGGGACGAGGACATAGCCATTTTGGTGAACCTCGTTAAATCGACGTGTTCCTGTTCTTGCTTCTGATTCTTGTTTTCTGCTGCCTTACTCTGCTTGTCCTTCTGCAATCAGAAAGGAGAACTTGCGCGGTGCTGGGGTGAGGTCATCTTTGTTAACATGCCCAATTTCACCTTATTTCCAGTTGGGCTTTATTTTCTTTTTGGCCCACAGCTTTGCGAGAAGAATAACAGAAGCTTCTTCTGTTATGTCATCTTCTTCGTTCGGCATTCTCATTTCCCCCAAACTTTTCAAAATCCCTAATCCTAAAATCGACCTACACACCTCTCCAACCAACCTTCTTCTCCCACTTCCCTACTTCGGCCGCAGCTTCGTCAGATTGTTCACCAGTCTCGCTGACGATGAGATTCATGGTCGTTGGGTGCCTGTATCATTCACACACCATGCCACAATGATGGAGGGTTGTAAGGAACGAGATCGCCGAGGTAATTGGTGGGCTTATGGCTCAATTGTCAATTGCTAAGGAAATTGGTTTATCTCTATGTTGAGTTCCTAAACTTTGGTTAAAAACCAAAATTAATTAATAAAGGAAAAAAAATCCCAATCGACAGAGCATAAAGAGAGAGGGCAAGTGACATCGTCGGAGGAAGCGACCTGACTACTCCTCCTGCAGGCGGCGAAGGACGGGGAGGAATAGGGATCCAAATAGAGGGATTCGCCACCGACCTCATGTACTCCTCCGTGACGTCTTTCTTTGCCTTCCTCATGAGATCCAAGGCGAACCCGAGCGGGTTCCGACAAAGGTCTCAAGTAGTCGCCACTGTCGCTGAAAACGCGAACGCGTTGCCGTATTACCCCTCGACAGCGGCGACTCAACCCCTAGCGTGCGCATCTCCTCTTTGGGGTCGGGTTAGAGGGCGATGATCCAACACTTCCAGAGGCATGCGATGAGAATCTCGAAGCTGGAGCAGGAATCTCTGAGTTGGGGCGGCGCGTCGTCCCTTTCCACCGCCTGTCGATCAGGGGTTTCTCATCTTCCTCCCAAGCACGGTATGATAGAAGCAGATGGTGTGATTGAGCTTGGGGGAGAGGCGGTGGGTATGGCGAACAATGGTGGGAGTCAGAGGCAGTGGTCTAGCTTCATCCCTCCCTCGTCGCCGTTGAACTATTGAAGAATGAAGAGGAAGAAAGTTGGGAGGAGAAAGACTACACATTAGGGATTTAATTTGAAGATTTGTTTTACATTTTAGGGATTTAATTTGAATGAGTCGGTTATTGAGTCGGGTTGAGTTAAATCGTTGGGCTGGGCTGGGCTGGGATCGATGACATGGCGGGTCTTAGTGATATGGCAGGTCAGATTAGGTTATATGGCGGGTTAAAATTGGGTGAGCCAACATTTCTGTTAGCCACGTCAACAAATGACTAACGGTGTTAACAGATTTAGACGGAGACTAACGGAAAATGACCAAGCATGTACTGTTAAACTAATCTTAGCGACCATTATTGGAATTAAATATTTTTAGTGACCAAACATGAATATTTTTTGTAATCTCAGTGACCAAACTTGCAATTAACCTATTTTTAGACCTAATACAAAAAAAGGCTCATAGTTTAGAGTTTAGATCACTTGTACCCCTATTGCTTATTTCGAGCCACTTTTGTCACAAAGTTTAGAGTCCGTTAACGAGCATCGTTATTGTTTTACGATCAACTATTGACCAATAATGTGTCAATAAAAGATTATTGGTATTTGCTGTGTTACTAATTACAGAGCTATGGGGTTTTGTTTAAGGTAAGAAAAGGGTAAAGTAAAAAGTGGTATTGAATTTCATCGCTCTCAATTCTCTCCTTCTCTTCAAGTTCGAAAAGCTCCCCGACCTTAACTAACAGAGAACAAGATCGTCGTCGATTGTGCATCGGAGCGTGAAATTGGCAGATGGTCGTCTGGGCAGTGTCGCAAGCCTAAATTCACTGGAAGCGGACCGTAAAAAAAAACCACCTTCGACGACTATTCCTCCTCTCATCGACACCTTTTCTCCATCCTTCGACATCGACAACGACGATTGAGGGGTTGACGACCATTTCTTCAAAAAGCAACAGTCAATTGGGTCTTGGTGTTGGTATTCCCCCAATTTCCCCTAGTCTTTGACGGTGTCCCTTCAATACCCCCAATTTATAGGGTTTCATTCTCGCAAAAACTGGTAGGGAAACAGAGTGAATGGAGGAGATGGAAGGTGGTTGTGATACTTGAAGAGTATTCTGAAAAGGTTGTTGAAGGAGGGACCACAAATTGGGTTGTGAAAATGAATCTACCTTAATAGCCGAGCACAATTGGGTATGTACATCGTTCGTAAAATTGTTATATCGTAATTTTTGATGCATTTGGTTGTGTGCTTATAGTATATCCAGCCTGTGATTAAACAACTCTTATTTCTAGAGAATACATGTTTGGATTAGAAAATTAGGCAACTTTTTTATCTAACCATCTATACTCAACTTGTTGGAACTGTACAGGAAGGTAACGGGTCGTTTGCTTCATTGATTTTTAAAATGAAGGTTTTGGTAAAACTTGGGTTTTGTAAAACCATAGATATATGAAGGTTTTGGGTTCATTATGGACTTGTAAAATTCCATTGTTTTGTTTCATTAATTTCATGATGGATTTGATAAATTAGATTTGTGGCATGAAGTGAAAATGACCTATCTTGCCCTCATTGATATGTGATGAGAGAAATAAAAGGAGGGTTAGTTTGGTCATAAATGATGGACTTTAAAGTCCATGATCAAGTCCCGCCTAAATAGGTGGAATTTTCTAGTCCGTGGGACCCACGAATTTGGATGCTTAAAGTCCATGGGGCCCACAGATTTCTTGCCACAAAATATATGAAGCAAACAGTAGAGTTTGGACAAAGTCAATGATAGATCCAAATCCATCATCAAATCCATCACCAATTCCATCAAACAAACAACCCCTATCGACCTTATTTTCCATCATGGTGGATGGCCACATGGATGGTTCAGAAAGGTAGCTCGTAATATGTCAATGAGAAGAGTGAATAAGTTAGCATGGATAGGGACTACACATCATATTTTAAGCTCAAATTGATGGCTACTCAATCTTAGTAATATTAGAATGATTATTATGTTGGTATAATCAGAATTATTATTTTGGCAGCAAGTCGCTATCTTTTAAGTCATAATCAGTGCACATTAACACGTGAATAGTATATTTGCGTTGACACTTGAACCATACATCAACTCACAAACCACTACAAACAAAACTCTCAAACCAACTCACTTCAACCATACAGAGCACTGTCAAATCCACTATTATAAGAATACACGAAAACAAACAACAACCTAGTTCCACCTTCAGCTCACGAGATAACCTAGAATTTTCCTCCCCAAGATTAGTAAAATCATGACATAAGCGATGCTTTGCCTTCTTACTTTGATTAGCCTTATCTCGGTAGCTCTCAATCCCATTTCAAGTGAATAAGTTGTGTGCTTCATATCGTCGTTCTCTGCTGAAAGTGCTTGAACAATAGCCTCTTCCCTGACAGCACAATACTGATCCACCCAAACAAAGTATCTGCAGTTCACCATTTTTTCCTTCCAAAATGGGCTACGATAAAATTCTCTCCCTAGATTCTTCTCAGTTCCAGAGACAAGAACAATATTTGGACACTTGTGAACGTACCTAGGGACATGGGAACTAGCACAACTTGATTTACTTATGATCTTCCCTTTTCCTTGCATTCATTCAGACAAACTTGGCTTATTAAACCCTCCAATCTCACACGCAGTCCACCATCGTCGGTCTACCCTTTGATCTGTCGCTCTTGCCTTCAATCCGCAAACTTGTTGTCGTCTTTGCTGCCTCCGATTATGCCAAAGCGTGTCATCGTCGTCACTGTCACTTTCACCTGCTCCACCAAATTGTGTCGCCTTCACCGCTATCTACTACTCCCCCAAAACAATGTTGTCGTCGTCGACGATATTGTGTTCTACTCCCCAAACTGCGACATCACTTGTCATTCTCACTTTCATCTCTCTTCGTGCTCTGCTCACCCTCACATGAGAAAGATAAGATAGAAGGAATATATGTGGTGGTGGGTGAAAATATTTAATTTTATAATTAAATTGAAAAAATATTTTTCTGAGGTGTCGGTGACATGGCATACACGTTGTCACAAAGTCAACAAAATTTTGATCGCCTTTTGGTTGATTGTCAAGTCTAACAATCAACGAAACGAAGAAGGACAAAAGTGACATAGAGGCTCTAAACGTTGGGACATAACTGTCGTGAGATAAACATAGGGGTAAAAGTGAGCTAAACCCTAAACTATGAGTCATTTTCTGGTATTAGGGCTTTTTTTACGGAAGATGGAATTGGCGATGCTCTGAGTAGAGCCAAATTGTAAGCGACACGAAATCTAGCCACGTGATCTTGGACTAAGGTTTGCTCGAAAGATAGAATGGCGTGGAACGAGCCTGCTTGTGGTGGTCTAGCTAAATTTTACCGGGGGCCTATCATTTTTATCAACCAAATAAGACTAGGCAACCACCAAATGGAATACGAGGTTTTTCGTACAGTCGCGAGAATGAAATGACGAAGTAATTGTATTCAAGGTCTTTTTGCTGAAAACAAGAATTGATTCACAGATGAAGGAGATAAGCAGCGATTGCAAGTTTGGTCACTTGAATTACTTAAAAAATTTACGTTTGCCACTAAAATTAATTTATTTCATCCATAGTCACTTAAATTAGTTTAACAGTTCAAGTTAGGTCACTCTCCGTTAGTCTCTGTTAACTTTAACTGATGTGACAGTCAACTCTAAAAATTGACCGTTAAATAAGTGACGTGTCAGCTAAAAATTAAATTAAACTAAAAAAATTCTTTTGCAAATTCCACTCATTATCACAATAAATTAAAACAAATTTAGAGATAAATAAAACCTAAAAAACAAATTTCCCCATAAATTCCACCGTCACCGTCGCAGCGCTCCCCTGATCGCCGGACCGGTCCGCGTCTCCCCGCTCTCGTGACCCAATCCGAGGTACGAAATTCGGTGGACCTCCGAGACAGCTCTTCTTCCCCTGCCTCCTCCGAGGCCATCGCCACCAGCACCTTCTAGAAGCACGCTACATCGCACAACAGCACCAGCGGGCATCCGGGCTCTACCCGAACTCCGACTCCGCCTCCTCCAGTAGGACCCGGAACAGGGGTGGTTCGCGTACTTTGTTTTCACCACAAACCACTGCTTCTCTCCCACATGTATACCGTGAAACACCCTTCCGGCACCACCTGTCCCTTCTTCCTCCGTCGCCGGTTCAATTCCGTCTCCCCCGCCGCTGCCGACCGGGCCTTGCCTAAAGACTTGCATCTCGCCCACGTCTGGAATATCGAATTCCGTTTCTTCCCCCTGACTTCGCCTTCATACTTGCTTTGTCTGTCGTAAGGTTCAAACTAGGGATGAGATTAAATTAGACAAGTCACTAAACAAAAAGTGTGCTAGTGAAGAAGAAAGGTTTGAAGTAATAGTGTTCGAGAGAGATTTTAGTGCTATTAGAGGGGAGTGGCAGTACAGAGGGTCGATTCAGATACAAAGCAATGCTCTGGCGGCGCTCGAGGCGATCGATTTGGATGTCACGGATGAGGTTATGAGAGCTGGTTGAGTTACTGGGGATAGAATTAATGGCCTTGTCGATGGGATTTCGTGCACCTGGTTAGTTCCCTCTGTTCAGGGTTTTCTTGTTGGGGAAATGGTTCACGAATACTATTTTTCTTGCAACACAAGCAACATGTAAGATCACAAAAAATCATGCAAGACACATGCAAACGTCCTAGCCGATAGAATTCACTATCTCTCCTTAAAGAATCTTATTCCCCTCAAGTACCCAAGGTTATGGAATGATTCCTCCCAGGATAGAAAGGACGTACCTTTTCCAGCGTAGCGGTACCTCAAACCCAGGAACCCATCGAACGCAGCGAACCGGCGAGAACCACACTTGACTCGATTTTCTCTTTGAAAAGAATGCAGAAAACTAGGTTTGGATTTTGACAGAATTTTGGTACCAGGAAAAACTGATGTTTTTCTCTTAGTTAAAACTAGAGGGGTAAGGTGCTATTTATAGAAAATGAAGGGGTGCGTACGAAGGGAGGCGACTCTTCATATGGGTGGTTACACCCCAACCAACACATTGGTTCATGTTTGAAATAATGAACCACTGCATCGGTTCGTCCCATGGTAGTTGGACCGGTTTGGTTATTCCAACCGCTACATCAGTTCGGCTCGATTTGGTTCAACTCGTTTGGTTTGGTCCGTTTGGTACACAAAGCAATTTAACCGATTAACCACATATTACATCAAATCGATCGAATTCGAGGCCGTGCCTTCCCACATCTTACCAACATGGTACTTCAATAGACTCTCTTGAAACTTTCCCCTTTTATTTCCATTCACACCAATAAAAATCCCAACAATCCCCCACATGAATGGAGAATGTTGTACTTTAAAACTATGCAAAAAATCGTGTGATTCTCGACTAAGAATTAGTTGCATCGGAATAGGTAGGTTTCCCTTTGAACCTTCCTTAGTGAACATATATCGAGTATACTCACCAATCGGTAGATGTGATATCTTTGAACCGTCGGTTTTGCTTGTATACTAAGACAACATATGTCACACAACTAACTCTTATCCGTTCACTGGTTCTCATTGTTGTGTTCGTTTTAGCCGTGAACACCGCCTGGTCTCATGAGTGCTTAGAGAACTGGCCTTCTTTTATTCTCCTTGAAGCGGCTCCACTTCACACTCACATAGGTGATTTCTAAACATGTATTCCAAAAATACACTATTTGATCACATCCTGTGTCAAACTTAGAAGCCATTGAAAACCTTCCATCTTTAGGTTTACCCTTATAGTTGGACATTGTCTCATCATGAGAATGGAATTTCAATAATTTGACAATGTCGGACCATCATTCACAACTTTGTTTTCTCCTTGAACATAGAGGTTGGGTCTGCCAATCCTGCTTAGGTAGAGTTACCGCCATGATGATTTGTCCTAGGCCACGAGTCCATTCCCTTTGATGCTTTAACAAATTTCTAGGTGGGCCCCACATTTGTTATCACTTGATCTAAACTGATCATATCCGATAACTTCGCTAGAAATTAACCAATCAATAATGTTATGTTTCTACGACGAGATTATCACATAACACTTCTAGCCCTTGCAATAACCATTTTGTGCACAAATGCGTTTTATTAACGCCAGTCTTTGCGGGCCAAACCACTCAACTTCACCGGTCTTAGAGTTTAATTGTTGGGGAAATTGTTCACGTATACTATTTTCTTGCAACACAAGCAAACACATAAGATTAAGAAAATATGCAAAGACACATGCAAGCGTCCTAGCCGATAGAATTCACTATCTCTCCTTAAAGAATCTTATTCCCCTCAAGTACCCAAGGTTATGGAATGATTCCTCCCAGGATAGAAATGACGTACCTTTTCCGGCGTAGCGGTACCTCAAACCCCGGAAACCATCGAACGCAGCGAACCGTGAGAACCACACTTGACTCTATTTTCTCTTTGAAAAGAATGCAGAAAACAAGTTTTGGATTTTGGCAGAATTTTCGTATCGGGAAAAATCTCTATCTAAAAACCAGAGGGGGTTAGGTGCTATTTATAGAAAAATGAAGGGGTGCGTACGAAGGGAGGCGACTCTTCATATGGGTGGTTACACCCCAACCAACACATTGGTTCACGTTTGAAATAATGAACCATTGCATCGGTTCGGCCCATGGTAGTTGGACCGGTTTGGTTATTCCAACCGCCACATCGGTTCGGTTCGATTTGGTTCAACTCAGTTTGGTTTGATCCGTTTGGTACACAAACCAATTTAACCGATTCACCACATATTGCATCAAATCGATCGAATTGGAGGCCGTGCCTTCCCACATCTTACCAACATGGTACTTCAAGAGACTCTCTTGAAATTTTCCCCTTTTATTTCCATTCACACCACTAAAAATCCCAACAATCCCCCACATGAATGGAGAATGTTGTACTTTAAAAACTATGTAAAAAATCGTGTGATTCTCGACTAAGAAATAGTTGCATCGGAATAGGTAGGTTTCCCTTTGAACCTTCCTTAGTGAACATATATCGAGTATACTCACCAATCGGTAGATGTGATATCTTTGAACCGTCGGTTTTGCTTGTATACTAAGACAACATATGTCACACAACTAACTCTTATCCGTTCACTGGTTCTCATTGTTGTGTTCGTTTTAGCCGTGAACACCGCCTGGTCTCATGAGTGCTTAGAGAACTGGCCTTCTTTTATTCTCCTTGAAGCGGCTCCACTTCACACTCACATAGGTGATTTCTAAACATGTATTCCGAAAATACACTATTTGATCACATCCTGTGTCAAACTTAGAAGCCATTAAAAACCTTCCATCTTTAGGTTTACTATAGTTGGACATTGTCTCATCATGAGAATGGACTTTGAAAAATTTGACAATGTCGGACCATCATTCACAACTTTGTTTTCTCCTTGAACCTAGAGGTTGGGTCTGCCAATCCTGCTTAGGTAGAGTTACCGCCATGATGATTTGTCCTAGGCCACGAGTCCATTCCCTTTGACGCTTAAATAATTTCTAGATGGGCCCCACGTTTGTTATCACTTGATCTAAACTGATCATCTTCGATAACTTCTCTAGAAATTAACCAATCAATAATGTTATGTTTCTACGACGAGTTTTTCACATAACACTTCTAGTCCTTGCAATACCCATTTTGTGCACAAATGCGTTTTATTAACGCCAGTCTCTGCGGGCCAAATTACTCAACTTCACCGGTCTTAGAGTTTAACTTGGATGTTTTCCAAGATACTGCTCCTCGTTAACCATAAATGCCTATCCATTAATGGACTATGGCTTTTGGTTCACCAGTGAGTTCCTTTGGGTAAAATTCACCAAAGACTCGTCTCTTTTCGATTCACTACACATCATGTGTGTTTGCCTTGATTTTATTGCCTTGAAATAATCATAACACATGCCAACGGTGTTGAAGTCTCTCTACTTCATTAACCTTAGATTACTTGACCTTCACAAGTATCTCTTCAAAAGTAGTGACATTTATGACTTAGCTTAGGGTTTACGAAAAACTCCTAAGTATTCACATCACTTCACTTTGGAATCACCCAAGCGACATTCCACATCACTTCTCCCCAATTTATCCCCCACATTTCAACTATTTCGCCATAGTTGTTGAAACCAAGGTTTTGGGTTGGGGAATGTTGGTCAAAATCATCTCTTTGGGAAGAGTGGATCAACATAAAAAAATATTCTAGCTCTCTGACATAACGTCAATATATGCTGGAGTTTACTCATAAGTTATACCCTTGGACTGGGTTAACTCCACAAAGTTTAAGGACTCTCACTTTCTCATTGGACACCTTCATACTTTCAAGTATGACTTCGTTTACCTTTCCATTTTTGTCTTATGGATAGGTTTGCGTCCCATTGTAGGGTCTTGAGATAGTAGCCGAAACAATGGCTAGCTTTTCTCCCCCACAATTCTACCCTTTGCCAAACATCATGGAATAATCTCATTTATTTTCCATGGTTTTACTTTTTGAACTTGTCAACCACTATATGTATCTAATTGTTTACCAATGGTATGATCTCACTCGATTAGCATACCACAAACAATTCAAACTTCATTAGAAATATCATCTAATTACTTACCAATTGTATTGATCAAGGCAACTTGAGACGTCATAAGTAATTCAGATGCATTCCAGTAATGGAAATCCCATCTAATTACTTACCAATGACATTTCATTTATGTAACATGATATACCACAAGTAATTCAAACGAATTTCTAATTCAATTGTCTAATTACTTTCCAATGGTATAAACTTCATAAATATACCATAAGTAATCCAGACTTTAAGTTCAACAAAATCATCTTAATTGAGAACTCATGCCAAATTATTTTCCAATGATATATATCTATACATACCATAAACAGTTCTGACAACTAGCTCCACCTTGATAATCATAGTCAAATTGTTTTCCAATGGCATAGTGTACTTATACCATAAATAATTCTGACCTAATGCTTATCTTGATGACGACCATCATTTGGCAAGCTTATTAAATCCCTATGAGGATCAATCATAGCTTCATTTTCCTTGCCCTCATGGCATAGGAAACATCAAGTCCTAAACCACATACATGATAAATAAATTATCATGTCTTCACAACTATCATAGGAACTAGAATTCCTTATCGCTTGTAGTTTTCTCGTAATGCAATCCTTAAACGTGCATTAACCAAATTTCATCTCCAACACATTGGAGGTATAC